TGGCTTCGTGGATCTCCGATCTCTGGGTCCCGAGACCCCAGGGGTGAGCCTGGGGGTCAAGCTCCTCCCCTCTGCCCCGCGGGACCGGGTTCCCCGCTTCCATCCGGGCAGCCTCTGCGCTCGCGGAGGGAGGGTGGGTGGGACCTGTACATGGGCGTTTGTTGAGGGGGGGGTCCCCCAGCTTACCCCGACCCAGGAGAGAAAGTCAGGCTCCATTTCTTACCCTTTCCCCAAGAGGGCACACACACCCCGCTCAACTTGACGCCTAAAGCAGCCGCCTCGAGGCCTGGCGTTGCAGATAGGCCAAATTGGCTCCTGCCGCCACACGCAGGGACTCGGCTCCTGGGGGGTGGGGTCGTGGTGGTGGTGGGAGGGCGGCGGCTGCGTCGTCTCCTGCTCGGCTCCCAGATACTTGCCCCCAGGGTCCCAGGCATCCAGGCCATTGGCTAGCCCCTTACCCTGCTGAGGGAGGCCTCGCGCCCTACGGGAGCCCGGGGCGGCAGCTTCGTCCTCGGTCTCCTCCCGGCTTTCTCCACCCGAGCTCCGCCGGCCGCTCCAGGGGAGGAGGGGGGCTCGTAGACCAGGCCTGGGCCGGGGTGCCCGGGGAGGGGCGGGCAGGTCTGCTGGAGGGCACTGAGCGTCTCCGCAGGAGGCCAGGATCAGCTCTGCAGGGTACGGCAGAGGGGGAATCCGGACCACCTTCCCTCCCTTTCTCCCAGCCTCGAGCCCCCTCCCCTCCCCTCCCCCTTGCCCCCGGAGGAGGAAGCCGGGCCTGCATTTGCCGGCACGGCGGGTCAGGCCGGCGCCTGGCCTAGCCCAGACCCCCGCAGCCCCGCTCTGCGCCTCAGGCCACGCGCCGCAGCCTCTCTCCGGCCGCGCTCCCTTCCCCCTTCCTTCCCCGTGGGTCCCGGGGCCGACCTCGGCCCTCCCTCCCTGGTATCCCCCTCCTCTCCTTTTCCCTCCCCCTGCTCTATGCTCCCGGCTCTGGGGCTGGGCCCGTGACGTCAAACCCAGTGTGGCGTCGGCGAGACTGGCCGGCGCGGGCCATCAAAAGAGCAACGTCCTCTTTCCCAATTACCCACTGTCAGTCCGGGAACAGGGGCGGACCGGCTGGGAATTAAATGTTAAGTACCCCCTACAGGCTGGCTCCATTACACCGGGCATCCAGCCGCAGCCCCCCACGCCTCTCTGCCAGCTCCAAACCACCCAGACCAAGAGGGGCCTTCGAGATCTTTTATTTTTCCAAGGTGGTTGGGGATGGGGTGGGGGTGGGGCTCACCATCCCAGTGCAGCCCGACTCGGCGCTCGTGATTTAATTAAAATAAATAATCCCCCCTCCCCCAGGTTTTTTTTTTTTTTTTTTTTTTTTTTTTGCGTTATCAGTAAGGCGCCGCTGCACCGGAAGGCCTTCCTCTCACAAATCTTTTCTCTTTGTCTTTAAAAATCGTTCTCAGCGTCAGAAGTTAATATTCTCAAGTCGTAGCGTCGGCAGCACTTCTCCGCGGAGAAAGGCTTCCAGGTGTGGGAGCAGAGGACCGCAGAGCCACGCTGGGAAACTCCCGCGTGGCTTGGGACAGGGGTCCGGCGGGCGAGCATCTCTTCGTCCTGGACTGACACGCGAGGAAGCGCCTTTCATTTTTTTCTCCCCCTCTGCTTCCACCCTTCATCTTAGTCTCGGGACTTTGAGCAAAAACGTGTGTGCGTTCGTCTGTCCACGATTGTGAGCGGTTTCCTGTGTAGGTTAGACAGAAACTAAATAATTAAAAGGTTTGGAGCGCGCTGGAGTGAGCAGGAGGAGAGGCTGGCGGCTTGACTGGCCCCAGAGAGAAGTGGTCAGGGAGAGAGGGAAATGCTGCTCCTTGACTGGGCCGCCGCAGAAACTGGGGGTAAAGGGGCTCAGGAGAAACATGCGGGCGGGTATGTATTTAATACGAGGATTTTCTTCCTGTTCTGCATCTAGGAACTCAACCCTGATTTCTAACAAACGTCAGATTTAAGAAGATGGAGACTAGACTCGAGAGAAGTTCCAAATCCGAGAACAGGGGACCCATGTTTCCACAGCTTTTTTCAAATAAATTTTACTAATCTTCCTACAAGGGTTGTGTATTAAAAAAAGACGCTCGCCTCACCACCAAATTAAGGCTGAATACTGATGCTTTTCCTTCACCGCAGGAAAAGAATCCTACAGAACCTAATTTTAAGGATTGTCTCTTCTCGCTCGAATTTCTGTATTTGTAGGGAATTTTATGAGGTCGGGGAGCAAGAGGGTATAATGTCTTCCTTTCAAATGGAACCTCGCATCAAGCTCAGTACGGTCCGTGGGAAAACCTACTAGAGAACCCCGCACTCTCTCCTCGCACACATTGCCGGGGGTTAGTGGAGGGTGGAACCTGGGCCTTCTTTTCCCGCCTGACCCCTGCGTACCCCGGTTGCCTTTACCGGCAGGGAGGCTGCAGGAGCTTCCGCGCCGCTAGGGGATGCAGTGGCTCAAAGGACCAAGTCTTAGGCCGCGGAGGTTGGAGCCCCCGGGGCCGGCCAATCGCGGCCCGGCCGCAGCCTCGCCCGCTGATTGGCCCCTTCTCCGGCCCCGCCCCCGCCCCGCCCCTCGAGGGGCGTCTCGGAGCCGCTCTCCCTCCTCCCGCGGCGGCCGGGCCCTGCCGAGCGAGTCCTCCGGGGCTGCGGGGCCTGGGGAGGGTCTCCGCGGTCCTGCTCCGCGGCCGGGTGGTCGTCGGTGGAGGGGGCTGGGGAAACACGCCGGGAGCCAGGTTAAGTAGGGGAAAATTAGGTAGCTGCAGTGAAGAGCCGAGTTCCTTCTTTCCGACCCCCTCTCACTGCACTTGAAACTAGTTCGGGTCTTTCTTCCTCTGTCCTGTGCACGCATCAAACGCACACATCGATTACAAATATTAGGTCTGGCAGGGACAGCTGCAACAGCTGAAACATTCGTCTGAGGGGCTTGTTAACGCAAAAGGCTGCAAAGCATGTTGACAACGACCCCCAGAGTAACGCGGACATTTCAATCAAAGGCATATTCCTCCTGCCAGACTCCCTCGACCTCTTAGGCAGTTCTCTCTCTCTCGAGAGGCAAATCTCTAAGCACTTTGACAATAAAAATTTTATTTTCTGATCATTTTTACATGCACGTAGCCCCAAATCCATAAACTTCCCAATACTTCCCTAGACTGAAAAAAGAAAATATTTGCTCATTTAAAAAGTCTGGAAAAGCGAGGCAGCCTGCAGAAATGAACTTTATGAATGGAGCAGGCCGCTTTCCCCGGCACGGAATTATCTACCCAGCCGGAAAGAATTGGCAGGAGCCAGAGTCACATTTAAAGGGCCAGAGCGCGAATTCTCTCCTGCCCGCCCCCTCCGCCCCCACC